TGATTGCTGCCTCCTGTACAATGTCATAAACCTCCATCCATACTTCTTCAGGCACTCTGTCTATCAAATCTAGTCAAACCTATTGTTCACCTCCACTGTATATTCATCAGTGATATGCTCTGGGTCAAACCTGAATGGCCTAGTGGTTTAAGAACATAAGAACATAAGAGACGCCAATGTTGGATCAGGCCAAAGGCCCATCCAGTCCAACACTCTGTGTCACACAGTGGCCAGAAATACCAGTGCCATCAGGAGGTCCAGCAGTGGGGCCAGGACATTAGAAGCCCTCCCACTGTTGACCCCCCCCCCCCAAGCACCAAGATGACAGAGCATCACTTGCCCCAGAGCCCCTAGCTATACCTTGTGGCTAATAGCCACTGATGGACCTCTGCTCCATATGCTTATCTAATTCCCTTTTGAAGCCGTCCATGCTTGTAGCTCCCACCACTTCCTGTGGCAGTGAATTCCATGTGTTAATCACTCTTTGGGTGAAGAAGTACTTCCTTTTATCCGTTCTAACCCGACCGCTCTGCAGTTTCATGGAGTGCCCACGAGTTCTTGTATTGTGAGAAAGGGAGAAAAGTACCTCTTTCTTTACCTGCTCTTTCCCATGCATAATCTTATAAACCTCGATCATGTCACCCCTCAGTCATCTTTTCTCCAAGCTAAAGAGCCCTAAGCGCTTTAACCTTTCCTCATAGGGAAAGTGTTCCAACCCTTTTATCATTCGAGTTGCCCATGTCTTTCTTATGCTTTTTCAGAGCATTATTATAACTGAGTGCAGTGTGGAGTTAGCAATCTGGAAGCTCTTGGGCCAGATTAGCACCTGTTTATGAACACTGCTGTATGTGAAAGTGCAATGTAACACTGAAAGGCATTTTCAAAATATACTAAGTGCAATTATCAGGGTCAAAAGAGGAGGTACTGGAGTGTTGTAGTCAGAGTGCAGCAAATAGGACCAGAGAGTTCAAATCCTTGCTCTGCCGTGAAGCTCATGGGCTGCCTTTAGACTACTAACCATCTCCCAGCCTAACCTACCTCACAGGGTTATTGTGAAGATAAAATGGAGGGGGGGACGACAACCATGTTTGCTACTCCCAAACTCCTTAGAGGAAAGATGGTGTAAAAATAATAAATTAGCAACCACAATACGGAAATTAATTCCTTCAGCACATTTCGATATGTTTATTTTCCTGTAGAATTTCAGTTCAAATGAGAACACTATAATAAACAGCAGACAGATTCTCAAAACCCTGACTTGTGTTTCTTTGCAGCTGCACTGGAGAGCAATATCTGGAGAGCCAGGGGATCGATGCGACGTCATGGGGCCTCTGGCAGAACCACCTTGCGCTGGCTTGCATGATCGTCATCTTCCTTACAATTGCGTACTTGAAGTTGCGTTTCATGAAGAAATTTTCTTAAAATGTACATAGAAATGAATCTGTGATTCAGGCTACCCTGTCGTAAACAGAAGGGCTACGGAATAGACTCTTTCTTTTTGTTGTGTTAAATAGATTCTTGTTAAGCCAGTTTGGTGTAGTGGTTAAGTGCGCGGACTCTAATTTGGGAGATTAAATAGATTCTTGTTAAACCAGTTTGGTGTAGTGGTTAAGTGCGCAGACTCTAACCTGGGAGAACTGGGTTTGATTCCCCACTTCTCCACTTGCACCTGGCTGGATGACCTTGGCCAAGCCGTAGTTCTGATAGCAGTTTCTGTCAAGAATTCTCTCAGCCCCGCCTACCTCACAGGGTGTCTGTTGTGGGGAGGGGAAGGGAAAGGAGTGTGTAAGCCGCTCTGAGACACCTTTGGTAGTGAAGGGCAGGGTATAAATCCAATCTCCTCTCCTTCTCCTCCTAAATAGATTCCTTAGCTCATTTTGGAGTTAGGAAAAAAAACAGCAAGGCCAAACGTTTACCAGTATGGTACACCTAAATGTTCTTTTGCTACATTGACTATGTTGTGTATATTGGCACCTGAAGTCTGAACCAACAACATTCTTCAGCATTTGCTATTTTCAAGTGGTGTGACTGATTCAAATTAAGCATTTCGTAAGCTCCATGCAGTTCAGTGGAAGAGAGGTGCTTTAATTCTCCCTTTGGAACCAAGGGGGACATAAAATGCAGACTTGCCTGGACATCCTCCAATAGTGGTTAAAATGCAGAATAGTTTGGGGTTTTTTTAGAACTGGCTTCACAAAGGTGTCATCACAAACATATATAATTTAAGAGTAAGATCGTTTTGGTTGTTTTTTTAAAAAGCGTAAAGTGTTTTTTGTGCATCTGCTAGTTATATTAAGCATGGAGTGTCCTCACTGTATTTCACACAAGGTGGTCCCGGTCACACGAGCGGGATGATTTGCTGCCAAAGGGAGGCAAATTAGAGCCGGAGCAAAAAGAACCGCGGGAGTGCTTCCCCGACATGCCCCCGTGGCTCCATGCTCCGGCAGCCGATCACACGTTGTGCAGCAAACCAGCAGTAGCGCGGTTGTGCGCATGCGTGGGATGGGCTACCAGCACTTCCCCAACCAGACGCCTGGAGTTGCCACGCACCATCCAGATGGTAGTGCTCTGTTGCTAGTACCTTTTAAATGCGCGTTTTCGGGCTGAAGGGACGGATCGGGGACGGGTGCGTGACGCTTCCCAGATGTTGCGGTGTGATCGCGCCCACTTGATGCGCCCCCGATCCGCCCCTCTTGCTGGGCAAATCCTCCCGTGTGACCGGGGCCGGTGTTGGCTGCTGTCAGACAGTATTAAGCCTGATCTGTTGCTCAGTTTGTTCCTTGCTTCTTCTCAAACACAGGATCCTGATTCAACTAACTCTAGCTGCTCACACCTGGCCCTAGTTAAACTGTGGCACTGCACTGGGCCACTCCATTTAACCCACTAGATTTGAGTCTAGTTGCACCTTAGAGACCAAATTTTTTTTTCAGAGTATGAGAGTTATCTGATGAAGGGAGCTTCGACTCTCGAATGCTCATGCCCTGAAAATGTCGTCGGTCTCCAAGGTGCTTCCGGACTCAGACCTAGCTGTTCCACTGCAGGACCATCACAGTGACCCTCTGAAACTTCCCATCTGACCCAGTCACCTGAACCGGCCTAACGGTTGGAGAGTTATACAAATACAAATACAATACCTTTATTGGCATAAAATATCAAATACACATGCAGCATAGAGCCTCAAGATAGGTTGGAGGGGTATCACATTCCGAATTGCCTTAATATGAGCCTCTCCTCCTAGATACTTCATAAAAGAAATTTGCTACAGGTTCCAGAATTTCTATATTATGCGAAGACAATAAAGAACTAATTTTATGCTCATCGGATTGGCCCAAAAGGGGGTCCAACACAGGTTCAATATAAACAACACGGATGTCATAGTGGAATTTACAGTACAATAGCACATGTCCAATGGATTCAATTTTCCCCATCCCACAGGGGCACAATCTATCTTTATAGGGAATTTTCTTGAACCTTCCCGATAGAACAGCTGAGGGAAGGACGTCGAACCGCGCTAGCATGAAAGCCCTACGAAGATGGGGCTGAATCAGTCTTGCCAGGTATCCTGAGGAAATGTGGTTGGAGAGTTTTACTGAGACCTGGAAGACCTGGATTCAGATTCCTTGCTCCGCCATGAAACTCACCAGAGGGACTTGGCTCAGTCAGTCAATTTCAGCACAACCTACTTCACAGAGAAACATGAAAAAAAGAGTGAGCCATATATGCCGGCCTGAGCTCCTTGGAATGGAAAGGTGGTATAAAAATGTAAGAGTTGTTTTCCACATGCAAACTGGGATTCTAAACCTGGTTCAGAGTACTAGATGGGGGGGGGGGTTTCCTAACTCCAGTGTGTCAACATACTTGCATTTGTATATCTTGGGTAACCAGATAAAGTGTATGTCTTGGTATCTGATGACATGTGCGTGTGCACAAAAGCTTATACCCAGAATTAAACTTTGTTGTTCTTAAATGTGCCACTGGCCTCAAAATTTGTTCTACTGGGTAAGCAGAGTTACTTTGGGAAGGGGTGGAGTGAATTTGTGTCCATGTCATTCAGTCTTAATATCATCTTTTTGTGACATCTGATCCCATGGAGCTGCCTTATACCTAGTTCAGAACTCTATCAACAGCTTTTTAGAGCCACAGGTCGATATGGCTGCCAACTCTGGGTTGGACTAAGTTTGAGTCCAGTGGCACCTTTAAGACCAACAAAGCTTACACCTTGAATAAAACTCTGTTGGTCTTAAAGGTGCCACTGGACTCAAACTTTGTTATGCTGCTTCAGAACAACATGGCCACCCACCTGAACTCTGGGTTGGGAAATTCCTGGGGATTTGGAACCTGGGGAGTGGAGGATAATGCTATAGAGTCTACCCCTCAAAGCAGCCATTTTCTCTAGGAGAAATTGGTCTCTGATACATGGAGATCAAGCATGTGTGCATAATCTCAGCCACCATACTATCATCTATCTATCTATCTATCTATCTATCTATCTATCTATCTATCTATCTATCTATCTATCTATCTATCTATCTATCTATCTATCTATCTATCTATCTATCTATCTATCTATCTATCTATCTATCTATCTATCTATCTCTCTATCTATACATTCAATTTATACTGTCACTGATCACTCATCTTTGTCTGTTCTCTCTGTTTTATTCTTCCTTTATGTCTCTAGTCCAGTGATAGTGAACCTTTTAGAGACCAAGTGCCCAAACTGCAACCCAAAACCCACTTATTTATCGCAAAGTACCAACATGGCAATTTAACCTGAATACTGAAGTTTTAGTTTAGAAAAAACAACTCATGTATTAACATAAGATGATCCAAACAAAGTAAGGAAAGCAATCCCAAATGCTTTCATTTACTTAAAATTATTTGACAGAGAATTCCACACTTTCATGATGGTCTGGGCCTGGCTGGGGCGATGGCACGCGTGCCCACTGAGAGGGCTCTGAGTGCCACCTCTGGCACCCGTGCCATAGGTTCGCCACCACTGCTCTAGTCTCTTGTTTGAGACTGTAAACCCGAGTGCAGTCTGTGGTGTTTCTGGTTTTGTTTTATGTACAATGCACCATTTCTGTAGATGCACTGGAAATAAATAATATCAGATATACTGAATCAATGCCTCCAGCCCCATGAAAAACCTTGTAAACAACAACAAAGCCATTCATGCAGAATGCAGCAGTTGTGGAAACCTCCTTAGGATCCGGGGGGCGGGGTGGAGGGGAGCTTAAAAAAGGTGCCAGTACTCATATATAAAGCTACACCAACTTCCACCAGTTTCCCCTTCAGGACTTGGGAGAACCCCCTAAAAGGTGCCAGTACTCAGTACCAGTGAGTACGATCATTTAAAAAACCTTGCTATAGAGACCATGCTTGGGCTAGCTCAGTGTCATCAGATCTTGGAAGCTAAGCAAGGTTAGCTCTGGTTCGTACTTGGATGGGAGACCATAAAGGAAGTCTAGAATTTCGACACAGACAATGACAAACCACCTTTAAGAACATAAGGGAAGCCATGTTGGATCAGGCCAATGGCCCATCTAGTCCAACTCTTTGTGTCACACAGTTGCCAAAACCCAGGTGCCATCAGGAGGTCCACTAAGCAGCCCCAGAACTCCAGAAAAATGCCTTTGAACATCTCTTGCCTTAAAAACCTAATGTGGTCGGCATAAGTCATCTGCAACTTGGTGGCACTTTCCATGACCACCATAAATTGAGACCACAGGATCCATGTCGGCCCAAAGCACCAGAAACAAAAGCCATGACATAGCTTTCATTAGAATCAACCAGAACAACACGAAACAACAGGCAAGATTTCATGGTCTGTCTGATGTTTTCAACAGACTAGGTATTAAAATGCACATGGTGGTGGTAGTGGGGGAGATGTTTCAGACCTGATTTTAGGACTCTTGTCCACATCCTGTGCAGAATGGGAGACAGATGTGAATAGATAAAGTGATTCCAAGTAGAACCTTGGTGGTACCAAGTTGCCTTCTGAGAAGCAGCAAAAATGGCTGCCTCCAACTCAGAATAAATGAGTTTAGCCTTCCATCAACCATACAGATCTTCTAAAAGGCTGAGATTTGAGGAAACAGCAGCATCGGAATGTGATGTACAGAAAGTGCATAGCAAGAACTTAATCCTTTTTGTTCCCATAATATTCTAATTTGGGATGCACCCAATGAAAAGTAGTCTCAGGGCAGCCAAGATAAAGGACCTCAGACAACAGCGGGGGGTTGGACTAGATGACCCTGTGTCATGACCCCCAGAGGGGTCTTTGGCCCATCAATGTGTATTTATATTTAGGATTTTTGGCTCCAATGTGCATCACCTTGCACTTGGCCACATTGAACCCCATTTGCCATGTTGACGCCCACTTGCCCATCTTTGACAGATCCCTTTGGAGTGCCTCACAA